ATTGTTTAAATTGGTGGACTAGATAGGTTTTAAAGTTGCATGAATTTGTTTGATGACTATAGGTGCCTTGCACCATACAAGAATAATTTCTATTTGCGGTAACGATGCGACCGCTACCTTAATAAAATCCGCTCACATGATAACACTAATACAGGGGAAGAGAAAATTTATTCAACGGTATAAAAGCGAGATTGAGATGCTTTTGCACTTTAATACAAAGAGTTTTTTTTCGAGGCCAGTCAGCGCCTTGCGTTTTATTTTGATGTTTTACTTTTTTTGAATTGCTTATTATAGACATAATAACATTTGAAGAACCACTCGTTGAACTTTCTCCATGATCGTTCATTCTGAGGATTAATGTCACTTGTAACAAGCACCTCTCATATATACAGAATATTATACAAACCTGACGCGCAAATATGTAGATGGCCGAAATTCTGTAACTGGAAAAGGCATGATCGGTAAACAAAACTGCCTGATTACTTTGATAAACAATCGAGCGATTGTTTGTGGCATTATAATGGTATGTGGAAAATTTTGATATTAGAAGATAGAAAATAGGCGTTGCAAAAAAAGAGTTGTTTCAATTACAGGATTCAAAATTTCGATTCCGCAAATGCTTATCGATTATCTTGGATGCTTTTTTTTGGATCATCTGTGTATTGACGTATGATTCTGCAAATATCGTCCCGGCTCGGAAATCTATAATTGGACAGACTACTACTACTGCGCTTCATATTGAGTTGCAAAAAATCATTACCGTTTAAGGGATAAATCCGTCCATCATGTGACTCTCAGGAAAATTATTTTATCATCACTCATTGCAACCGATGTTAATGTCTCTTTATTATTATCTCGATCGTGATCCCTCGGAATGGAATATTGAAAGTTTTTTAAATAGCTGTGATCAGGAAACAACAAGAGCGAAAACCGGACTATATGTTACGTGTTTGAACAAAATCATTAATGATGAAGGACCAAGGCGCGAACGAGCACGAATGTTGCTCAATGAATTTAAAAAGGTGTGTCTATTAAATTTTTCTTTAATAATATGAAGAAATTGGTGGCGTAGCGATGACCTTTAAGCTCGTCGTCATTCTAGCCTTTATGCCTAAGCCACGAAACTAGATTCGGAGCACAGGTACCTTTATGCTTGCCTGCTGTAGCCTTTATGCCGTTGGCCGTAATTTTTCCGCGGCCCTCTACCTCCCCTACAGTGATTGCTAATTTTAGTAACTTCGATCGCCAGATCTGATAGCTTTCATAATAAATCACGTCCTTGATGAAAAAATATTTAAAAACTTTCACTTCTTCCGTTTCCGCGAGCATGGCAAATCCGTTCAAGTATATTCGTGACAAAGGTGTGCTTTTCATCAAATCAGTACCTTTTGAGCTTTTCTATTACGTTATTACATACAGTTCAACAAAACCAGATCGAAAAGTTTGCAAAAGAAGCCGACGATCCTGTGCACGACCGTGTCGATAGATATCTTCTCTTAGCAATTGAAAAACTCCCTTCCTTAAAAAGCGCAATACAGCTATTTTACTTCTCCGAGTTTTGAAAAGAAGCGAAAAAACTTTTTCTCAGTCGAGAAGAAAAAACCTTTTAACAAACGGCTTTTTTTAGTGGAATCCAGCAGGATTCAATGATGTCGTGGGTGCTCCAGGACTAAGTAATGGTGTTCCGGGCCAAACCTTTACTGATTGGATTTATTCTTTATGTCTCTCGAGCTTTCTCTACCAATGCCTCTTACAATTTCCGACACTTTAACGGGCGAACAGCAATGCGCAATACTCGTATTAGAGATAGACTCTCCCGAACACTGAAGTTTGAATCCGTCCACATGTATATTTATATGAAGGAGGATTCAGCGAATAACAATTAAAGGACGTTGCAGTTATTGCAAATCTAACCGCAAATGGAGCACGAAATTACAACATTATCTTTGCATTTCCGCTATCGGATCATGGATAGATCAAATAAGCTAAACCTGCCATGGTATTATTTAATGAAGTCTGATCTCAATATTTTTCAGATTCGTGAGTATCAACTCAATCTTCCATTCTATTTTATAAAGGGCAATTAACCAGGTGGGCGTACCGAACGTCGTTACTTCTATCACAAGGATTAACCGGATTAGCAAGCACTCTCTCAGTTGATCTTGAAAACTGCCGAAAAACTTTTGCCGCACAAAAATGATAACTTTGCATATGTACTGATAGTATATTATAATATATGCATTTTTTTATGATGATATTTTTATTACTGAAAAGTAAGGCATTATTGTATATTTTTTAGTTTGAAGACGCTTTTGAGGGAGTATGTACATTGTGCGATTGTAAAAACGAATAAAGAAGAGCCTCTTAGCTCGGACCAAATCAAAAACAATATGATTGAGCTAGAAGGAAACTCAAAAAAGATACGAGTCCCCTATATCAACATTATGCTCTGGTATAAGAGCAATGTCTATTAAGGAGTTGCTTTGGAAAGATCCTACGGCCAGTCAAGTCATCAGCGACGATTCGAAGCTTGTAAAGAAATTACCGGGAAATTTAAGAAAAGGATTTATGGTAAAAAATTATATACATATTCGGCTACATTGACTTGTTAACACTAAATTAATTATGTATACTCTACACTAGAATCTTTCTCGTAAAATGAATCAAGAAATGTGTAGAGAATTCGTACTAGATTTTAACAAACATGAAATCGAGATGAAACCAGCTAAATTAATACGATCAAACTTGGAAAGAATCGAAAGAAGATATTGAAGGCGTGGACAAAGAAAGTCTTAATGAAAATATATTTGAAATAACCCGGCTTTCGATTCCGAACTTGCAAAGACATTAAACGAGGGGACGTACCAATCGACCGTTATCGTATCTGCCCATTAGAGCGTCGTTGAAAAATCTCCCCATCGGAGATTCCCTTTTTATTAGTACATCGGAAAAGCAGAGTATTGCTAGCGCTAATAGAAAGGGAGAAAGTCATATGGGAAGGCGTCCGGATATTATGCTTGCAGCAAAATATCTAGAGACATTTTTTGAACTTAAATGTATGTCGAATGTTCTCGCTTAATTTGTAGTCCACAAAAAAAGACCGACGATGAGATAAAGTTATGGCGAGAAACTAATGATGGACTTTATTGGGTACGCCAAAGTCTTAAACCCGATAAAGATCAGTTTGGTATTGTAGGTATGCAAGTAGCCGGGAATATATTGCACTTGAATATTCTTGGTTAATGTACACCGATATTACCATTTACAATCCGCCGAAATTCCTGTACAATTTTCAGATGAAAGAATTTTATAGCTTTGTTACTTTTACGTAATATAATAATTACTAATTTATCTTTACTATACGTGTTTCGTACCTTGTTTTTTTTTTACACAATTTATTTTCTATTTTTTTATATAATTTTTGGTTTCTATAATTTTGTATACCACGCACCTACTGCCTCATCACAGAGACAAATGGAAGAGAGTACTACAATTTCTACTCCTCCATATGTAATTTGTAATACGCAATATACAGCGCGAATATCATCACTGACATTATGCTAGGCTGTATCGTGTTAGATGAATATAGGGCTTTTGCCGTTGATTTCGATAAGAGCAAGACTGTTGAGCATCTCAAGAAAGCCATCTTGGAAAAGAAGAAGAAGAGTCTTTCTGGTATTGACGCACATTATGGAAAGTTAATAATTTCCCTGAAATCAACAAGCAGGAGATATATATGGGAGTTGACATCAAACAAAAATTCGGAGGTATAGTGTTTTGAGGAAGAACCCGATATTAATATTTAACGTTAAAGCACTTGGCTTATACGAAATGCCTAGCAATAAGATTATTAAAAGAATACCTTTAACAAATGCACAGAAACGTCAACTATGTCTTGACAAGAAGAAAAACCCACACCAACAAATGGCGAAGCACGCGGAGCTAGTGTCTCTGACACATAAATTTTTAGCTAAAAATTCTCGAGTTATGCATGACAAATTGTCATGCCGATTACTTGCCAAGAAAAAAGGTCGTGGAACTTTTCATGCGTGTAACCTGCCGATTGTTACTAACTCGTGGTATACGCGTTTTCTTTGTAAAAAAAGTTTTTTTTTCGCGATTTTCAATATTTCATTACTCAAGCTGTAACCATGTCTACTACCGAAGAAAAATCAACGCCATGGAGTACCTACTTTAATATAACACTACCAGAAGATTATAGCTTCTTAGAGTATTATAAATACCGATCGAAACAAACAGATTTTACTTCCTCTTTTAAGAAGGAGACGCACAAACTAAAAAAAGATCCCGAGAATCTAATAAAGGATGGCTTGGATGAAAAAAGGAAAGGTGCCAGTCGATTGGAAGAAATTCGTAGGGTAAAGTATTCTATTGTTGTTTTTGCATTGCTGGTCGACATAGGGAGGCTGAACAAACTTTAATGGCTATACTGCGCGATGGCCATCTACTGTCTTGTCTATAGTACTGCATGTTGGGTTATAATGATCTTTATTGCAGGAAGGAACCCACTCAACTACGGGAGGCTCTCTCGAGGAAGAAAGTAAATTGCCACTAGCAAGTGACAACAAGGTAAACTTTAATGTTATCATTTGTGCGCATACAATATACTTAGTAGGCATATTATCATTTCAATAGGATTCATCCAAATTTATACATGAAGACGTGTTGAATGCATTTCGAAAATACTAAAATAAAATCCCTAAAACTCGCAAAGTATTCACGTAAGTTTTGTGGTTTTTTTTTTTTACTATCATGGTCTGATCATTAATCTATTTCGTTTATCATAGCCCTGCATATTGGGGAGTGCTTGATCTAACTAGAGAAAGTCTATATGAATGTAGAGAAATTACTGAAAACGACTTACAACAATTATCTCAAGATTTTGCTAATCATGTTAAGTGGGAATGTGAACCTGCCCCAATAAATATCCAGAATTACTTTGACAGCCATTGTGAAAAACTCGACAATAGTGATGAAAATAAATATTTCGACACAAATGTACAATTTTTGTATGTATCAACTCTGTGGATGTGTTTTTGATTATCTGGTACTTATATTTTAACTTTATATTATTGTACAGAAAGATTAACATGCATTCTTTCCAAGGAATGCTGACCGAAGAGCAATTAAAAACGACATCATCTTTTCCATTGTTTAACGGAATATTTACATCAAATCGCATGAAGCATGCCTAGTAAGTTAATTTTCTTTTTACAAAGGCATTGGATGTTTCGATTCAAAAATAACAATTTTTCCACACATAGGGGGGGAATCCATTCTCTTTCAAATAGTGATGCATGCAATGAAAAGTCGAATCCCTATAAAAAATCCCGAATGGGAAGGAAGGTTGACATGAAAGTAACGTTATTAAAAACGCCAAATAAATTTGAGGCACTCTTCGGAGAAGTTGCAGGTGGATTAGGACCATTTGGAGTTCCTACAGCTTGTCGCAAGAAACGATTTCTAGATAAATTGAAATTAATGGTAATAATGCGCGATAGTATTAATCGCCTATTAAAAGAGTGTGACCAATGAAAGGTTAGAAGTTATAGTCTATGGCTGGCTTCAGTTTGGTAGGTTTAATACAAGAAATAAAAATTTTATGATATCGTCACTAATGGTTTTATTTTAGGCTTAGAGCTGAACTTTTACGCGATGGATTGGAGAGGATCTGGCGTATATAGATTCGGATTGCTAGACAGATGCAGGATACCTGTCGATGATAATTATTGTAACATATTGGAAGACGCATATTGTATACTCAAGTTGCTTGAAGTAAGTTGAGTTTTTTACTTATGGTAATTGCTAACAACTATCTAATCTATCTGCCAATATAGAAAAGGTTGCTTGATACCGAAATATCTGTAAACGATCTATTTTTGAAGAACACACGAGGGAAAAGACGACAAATCGTATTGGAAAACAAAGCGGAACTAAATATCACTCGTTCTCCCTAAAACATTATTCTTGAATTGGACTCATTTTTTAATGTATCAAGTTGTTCCGTGGTCACATTTAGAATTCAATTTATGTAATAAATTCACGTTGTATGCGTTACAATTTGTAACGCCGATCACTTTGCCAATAGAAAATTTTTTAGCAGAGCTGACGATGTATCAATTAATGCCTTAACCAAGTAAGGCTCGTGACCCTCTTCATGGATTTTACATTTACATATGCCATCTTGTAATATAATTTATATTATGCACTATATCTTTATCCAAAAAATAACTAATAATTATTTACCCATTCTTCGATATTAAATGCAATTATTTAAGGGTGTCTTGCACCCGCATAGCGTAACCCACGATGAATGATTAGGAATAATCACACCAGTCTCTCTGATATAATTATTGAATGCGGAAATAAAATCGATATTATGTGTCTCGACACTAGCTCCGCTATTATCTTGTATCGTGCCACTTATAATCGGGAGAGGTACATTCACTGTTTCAGAATCGCTAAATTCAGACTCTGTCTCAGAATCGCTGGATTCGGACTCCGTCTCAGAATATTCTGAATCGTAATATTCACTTAGATTAATCAGGCTATTCTTCATATTTTTATCAGAAAAACGAGTTAAAATTATATCTCCATCTCTATCTATTCCGATTAATTTGGGGAATAACATTTCATAGAATATATGTAATAAACGAGGTAATATTTCTATACTATCTTCTCTCCAATAACCCCCTTTTTCTCCCAAAGGGCATTTCTGCATAATCGATAACCATAGTAATCAATATCAATTCCTCGCCCTGTTAACATGAACTTCCTAAAACTAAATCATATTCAAATTTGTCAATAACTACGAAATTAGTAAATGTTTCGTTTAAATATCGAGGTAAGATTTTAATTTTCCTGATTCAAAAATATTTGGCAAAGTGACAAAAACTTTTTCTCTATCAATCCAACCTCTCCTCATTACTTTCATACCAGCATATGTTACTAAATATATAACAATATGTAACCTTGCTGACCCGAAAAATATATAACTGAAATGTCACCTTGTTGTTCTGAAAATTATATAACCAAAATGTAATCTTGCTGTCCTATCATAGCTATATACAGTGGTGTTCAAAAAAAATGGCACAAATTTAGTTCGCACATGTGTAACTCGGTCAATTTTTAAAATAAACGCGTAATCAATGGCAAAACAAAGCTTATGTAATGGACTACCATTTCCAAACAGACTTATTTTCAACTTACTTCGCGCTTTACCCAAAACA